GGCCGCCGCGGCGCAGCTCGTCGGGTCCCTTGGCGTAGAAGGTGTCGCACAGCCGGCCACACTCGTCGGGTGAGTCTAGGCGGATAGGGACGCAACAGTTAGCATCACGACGGCGATGGAGCAGGGCGAGCGTGCAGGGAGAATGTTCATGTAGCAAAGAGGAGGGCCGCAGCAAGGCTACCACCTGCCTCGCCAAGGTAGAACCGGTGCTCCATCATATCCTTGTGGCCGCACACGAAGTCAGAGAACATCATTCCAGTGAATGGGTCCACTGCGCCGCACTTGCACACATCGCACGCCCGGCACCGGCACTCTCCGCACTGCTCGGCTGAGCAGCCAGCCTCGCAGCTCTCGCGCTCGAGCTCTGGTACACCTTTGCGATTGACGACACAAAAGCCCTTCTCGACAGTGGCGCCCGGAACGAGACTCGCTAGGGTGACGCTGAGCCCAAGCGTGACCAGCATGCCGCGGTTTGGGCGAGTGAGCACGCGCGGCGCCCGGCAGCAGTCCTTTCAGCGGCGGCGGGCGCTTGCGCGGTGTTTTTATTTTGTTTCTTTATGTTCATTCACAGATGCATGTAGGTTGATGAGAAACAAGAAGCACACATCCCACAGATAGGTTGACAAGAAACAAGAAGCTAACATCTTCACACAGGTAGGTTGATAAGAATTTTTACAACTAACGCAAGAGAGCGAATCAAGGAGGGAGGGTCGGGACCCTGGGAAGGCGAGGCCGAGGGGTGAGCCCTCAGGCGGGGGGTCTACTCGAACGTCTACGCAAGTGAGTGTAGAGGGGTGGTGTGGGGCGTGCAGTGTAGTGTTGAGCACTTGAGCACTGGATAGGGTCGATTCCGCATGGTACGGGACCCCTCGATCGTCTCGCGTGTAGTGTTCATTAGCTCCGAGTAGAGGGGGCGTCCTGCAGTTAAGGGGAAACCCGGTACGCGGGGCTAACCCTCGGAGACCTGTGTTTACTTTATGGCCCTCTCCCTGCGAACGCGCACCCCCCCCTAGGGGTCAGGGCTCTCTAGCCCGTAGCCCGATCCCGATCATCCGGCCCGCTGGGTGCGCTCTTAGCTTCCCGGCCCTGGATGTGAGGCTAATGACTGCACTCCAAGTGCTCCAAGTACGCAAGTACTCTCTCACACTTACCAGAACACGCTCTTCTCTCTTACTTACTAGGCACGGGACTGGCGCGCACTGGCACTAACACTAGGTTGATAAGCAACAATAAGCGCACATCGCAGACAGGGAGGGTGTGAGAGGCGGACCTAAGCGCTAAGGAAAGCCCTACATCTCTTTATTTACCACCCATTTAGTTAGTTAGTTGGGGTCCCGTACCATGCGGAATCGACCCTATCCATCCAGTGCTCAAGTGCTCAGGTAGGAAGGTGAAGAACAGCCAGGCTCGGACTGGACACCAACGCGGTATGGGTGGACGCGAGACAGATGATGACGAGACGCACGAGCGACACACAGACACAAACAAGCTCACAAGACACCAGCCCTGCCTGAGAGCCTGACTGCGCTCCCGCTCGACAGAGTTGGGTACGATTCACACAGACCTTGCTATTTCCGTTTCTTTCTGAGAGGTGAGGTCTTCATACCCTCACACAAAGGCACAAACAACCCCGGACCCAAGATCACGCACCATCAGAAGTTTCACGTTCACTCCAATCGTGAATCGATTCAACGCAGCGTCCCTGACCGAAACCGACACACGCTTGGACTTTGCAATGGTAGGCCGACATTTCACGCACGCAGTTAGCCTCACCTGCGCTGTGGAAAGGGAGGGACTGGAGCACGAGTGCCAAAAGGCGGAGCAGGCCCTCGCCGCGCGGCAGAGCGAGCTTCGCGCCGCACAGGCCCGTCTGCAGGATGAGGAGGCCGAGGCGGCGAGGAGGGGAGAGCCCGACCCGGCGGCACTGCAGAGGGCGGTGTCTGCGATGACGAGGAAAGTGGAGGCGCAGATTGCTGACGCGTCCATCGCTCTCGTGCAGCGGCGTGAGGATCTGAAGCAGCTCATGCAGGGCAAGCGGTGTCAGCTCGCGGCGGCGGTGGGTGGGAACGCGAGGGAATACTACCGATCCAACCACGCGCAGTTGCGAGCGCTACGGAGGGAGCAGACGAGGGCCGCGACCGACGACGGCGACACTCGGGCGGCCAGAAGGAGGGCCGAGGACACCGACCGCTCCATCGCGCAGCTGGCGACGCAACTGCATCAGCTTCGGCGCGCAGTGGCTGACGCGAGAGCTGAGCGTGACTCGCTGCTGCGGCAGCCACGCTGACTGTTGCTCCTCAACGGAGGCCAGCTCGCTCTATCTGTCGAAGAGACAGAGACAGACAGGCTGAGACAGACAGACGAGAGAACGGCGGCGCGGGGGCAGGGGCCGCGGGGGGCAGAGGCACGCGCGCGGGGGGGCAGAGGCAGCACTTGGCAGAGCTAGAGCGGAGAGCGGTTCCAAGTGATCAGTAGTGTACACGTGCAAAAGCTGCCTTCGCCAAAATGATTCAACAATACTACACACACGCTCACCAATAGAGGTACCACGCTTCGCCGCACCGGATCCCAAACCCCTGCATTGTGACGCGCCGCGCGCGCAGGTCCCACGTGGGCCGCCAGCCGCCCCACTCGCCCACCTGCGAGCAGGGGAAACGGGAGGTCGGTGTGTCTACCCGCTAGGTGCGTGGGCGAGGGCGGGTCGCGCCTGGTGAATGATCAGGCCCGAGTGTACCACGAGCCGGCCCACCTTGTACACCTCTCGCCGCATCACGGCGCACGTGTCGGCGCACCACGCCCACTCGTCCCCTACGTGGTCCGCGCAGCCCTGCCTCTTGCTGCGGAAGGCGACGTAGTTGAGGCCCGCCTCGCCCTGGTCCGAGGGCGGCAGCGCCAGCGGCAGCGTGAAGGAGATGCGGGACCTGCTCTCGCACTCGGCCAGCCAGGGGAGCTGCTCGCTCAGCCCGCCCGTCCCGTTGGCCGTCATGCTGTTCCACTCGTCGTCGACGTGCCTGGCAGCCATGCTCCCGATCCACTCATCACTCAGCCCACCGCCATGCTGCTCCACTCAACATGACTGGGAACGAATCTCGGCTCATCTCGGCCAACCTCGGCCAGCTCTGCCGTCTCGGCTGTTCTCGGCTAATCTCGCGCATGTTAAAGACGGGGAACTGCCACGCTGCGTGCGAGTAGATGTAGTGGAAGCCCGGCAGGGAGAGGCCGGGGGCGAAGCGGACTGGCCCGTCCCTCAGCGACTGCTCCAGGATGTCCCGCACGTCCTCGAGCAGCCCTCCAAAGGCGGCCTTCAGGTATTCCCGCTCCGTCTCCATCGCCCGCTCGTAGGAGGTGCGAGAGGTGAGCGGCGGCGCGCCGCCCGTCTTGTTCTTGTGGTACGCCCAGTACGGCCCCACCGTGAAGAAGGGCAGCGGCCCCGCCGTATCTGAAATGTGGATGAGTCTGTCCGCCGGGACGGACGCCACGATCGCGGCTGCCTCTTCGGGCGTGAGAACCTGCCGGCGGAACATCTCGCTCTTCGCCCACGGCGAAGAGCCGTTCGCCTGCGGACGAGCCGGAGGGCAGGTCCAGGTCGGTCCTCTCGGACTCTCAGACGCTTCGCAGAAGTGTCTCTCGGAAGCACCGTGTACGAGTAGGATTGCCGGCAGAGCCGCTCGGTCAGCTGAGGAATAAGGCGGCGCTTGGCGATCGCAAAGAGCTGGTGCGTGGCGAGCGCGAGAATAACTGGGCTGGCGGCGGCGCAGCCACGAGCGCGGCGGCCGCCTGGGAACGTGCGGCGGATGCGTCATCAGTGCGTCCACGGTATAAGGTGGCCGCTGCTCCTTGGGCGCAGCGATGAGAAGCGGCAGAGCACACTGTTTTAGTGTGTCGCGGCGTCTCGGAGGCGCCTCTCACCTATTGCGACGGCCCTCAGCCATACGAGCAGCAGCGCGACGACGAGGAGCGGGACGGCGACGGTGGCGGGTGTGAGCTGCGTATAGCCAAAGTAGGGAACGAGGAGGAAGCGGACGCCCCCGGAGGCGTTCAGGAAATGCATGAAGAAGTCAGCACTGGGTCCCAGGAAGGCGATGCGATGACGGCTTAGTGTGAGCTTACGCACGAAGGCAGATCGCTAGAGTAGGAGCTGACCGACCCTCGCGTCCGGTGTTCACCGACGGCCGGGCGGGCCACCCGCCCACGCGCCGCCCACGTGCAACGCGGCGCGCGCAAACTCGCCCGCCGACTGCAGCCGCCAGTTCACAGCCTTGTTATTGAGAAGAAAATACCTCCTATGGCGCTGTGCGCTGGCCTGTGAGAGGTTGAGGTGCGAGCCCTGGAGGCCCTGGGGATGGGGGGGGACTACCCGCGGGCTTAGAAGGCCCGCGCGCAGGGGGGTGGGGCATTGAGACCGGTCATGAATGAGTGCGCGACACGCATGTTGCGAGCAGCGTTGTTGATGTTTTGCGCATCGCCACTGACGGCGGCGCGCGAGAGCTGTTGCGAGTGGTGTTGGGCGAAGCCCCGGGCGCTGCTGGAGGCTGTGCCGTAGTCGGTGCGGTCGACGGCGCTCGGGCTGCCGACCTCTTTGGCGAAGTTGAAGATGATTCTCTTGGTTGGCGGCGCGATGCCGCCCTGGCTTTCGACGAGACAAATTTTGACGATTCCGTTCTTGACATGGAGCGCGTCGTAGTACTGTCCCTTGTGCTCTTTGACCCAGCCTTTGCCGGTCGCATGGACGAGCGGGCCCTGTGACTTGTGGCCGCGCTCTTTGCACCCAAGAACCTTGAGCAAGGTTTGGTCGAGGGTGTTGCCGAAGCCAAACTTTGTGGCCCAGTGACGCACAGCATCCGCCGTGTGCCGCCGAGCCCTGCCCAGCCTGCCTCGTCTTTGTGAGGGCGCTAGGCACAGCCTTGTTATTCTTCTCGGTGCCTTGTTATTGAGAAGAAAATACCTCGTCTACGCCAGTTCACGTACAGTGGGTTGCGGGCATTAAGAAAACAGGATTGCGGCACGCCGCCGTTTTCTAAGCCTTTCCACAGCCCTCACCCACCCCACGCCGTGGTTTCTTAGCTGCTCCGGCCGTACCATGCGGAATCGACGACCCTATCAAGTGCTCAAGTGTCAAGAGCTCAAGCTCCGGCCGGCACTCAAGCAGAGCCGGCCCGAAGGATTTTTAGGTAAGTAAGAGGTAAGCTGCGGTCCGCGAGGGCGATGCCAGAGTCTGCCGCCGAGTCGGCTCTCTGGATGACGGGAAGACGCACACAAGGTCACAAGCCTCCATCCACTCGCACTCCACTCAGAACACCGCAGACTTGGAAAGTGACAAGTGCGCGCGCCGCAGGCGAGGAGAAATTTGCGGGCGGGGCTCCAGTTCACACTCGTGTCTGGCTGGCCTTTTCTTCGGGGCCGCGCCTGCGGCGCGCTGTGGTTTCTTAGATTTTCGCGGAAATCGCTTGGTAGGGTTTCTTACTGGTACGTTTTCTTCATGCCCGCAACCCACTGTAAACGCACATCCCCGGGCCCCGAAATCGCACAGTGATGACAGTGACATGCAACACGGGGTCCGCCAGTTCACAGATAGGTTGATAAGAAACAACGCTTTTCGCAGACTCCCTTGTTATTGAGAAGGAAATACCTCCTAAAAGAAAGAAAGAAAACAGACACCCCAAGGGAGGGATGGGAGGACGGCACGCCGCCACCACACAGGGATTTTAAGGAGAGGTGTGTGATGCGCTAGCCGTCGCCCACCCTAGGGAGTCTGCCTCTTCCTATCTCTCTTCGCAGTCTCTCGCCGCTTCTCGCTGCAACCTTCATGCCACCTCGCGGTCGTCCCACTCTCGTCGTTCTCTCCCTTGTCATTTCCTCCTCTGTCGCGTCGTTCTCTTCTGCCTCGTCCTGCGACGCCGCCGCCTGCCGGTCCCTTGTTCTCTCGCGCAAGTACCTCCTATGGCCCGCTCTCGCGCAGGTGTGTTTCTTCAATTTCAAGAATTCTTCCTTTCCTCGGTAGAGCACTTGCAAAGAGCTCTAACGGCACCCGGTACCGCTGCCGGTGCTCTCGCTGCGCTGCCGCAGTGCGCTCGCTCGCCGGCAGGAGTGACGACGGAGCAGTCGGCAGGCTACACTACTCAGCGAGAGCATGAGCGGCGAGTGGCTGCTGCGCCTCGACTCGAGCCTCTCCCCGCGGCCGACTCGGCCGGCCACGATCGGGCCGATCGCTGGCGGCAGGTCGCTCGTCGTCGGCCGCGACCCGAGCCGGTGTGACGTCGTTCTCGACTCGGCGGCCTTTCCCGGGCTCATCTCTCGGCAGCATGCTACGATCGTGCTCGAAGAGTCGGGCCCGGTCCTACGAGACTCGTCTCTCAACGGCGTCGGGGTCGACGGAGGCCGCACCGCACGCGGCGAGGCGCAGCACGTCCCGCTGCGGGACGGCTCGACTCTGGTCTTTGGGGTTCGCGGCTCTGCGACAGAGTTCGTCTACCGCGTGGCTCAGCGGCAGACCGAGACAAACCCGCAAGCCACGGCTATAGCACCAGAGGGGAGTGAGGAGATCCACACACTCGACACACTGGGTGGCAGCGACGACGACGACAATGGCTGCATCGGTCCGGCGGTAGCTTCCGATGGCGGGGCCCCGCTCGCGTCAGCGGCGGCGCCTGCGGCTGCGCCGGAGGAGCTCATGGTGGAGGAGCTGCAGTGCTGCATCTGCGCAGAGCTGCTCGTGCGGCCGTGCCAGCTCCGCTGCTCGCACTCGTTTTGCTCGCCCTGCATCTACGACTGGGAGCGCCGCTCGCGCACGTGCGTCATCTGCCGCGAGGAGCTCGAGGAGGCGCCTCCGCAGCCCGTCCGGCTGCTCGACGGCCTCACGCAGAAGCTGGCCGCGCGCTGCCTCTCCGCCGAGGAGAAGGAGGAGTGGGAGGGGCGCGCGGCCGATTGGGACGGGCGCGCCTCGCAGGCCCGGCAGGTGTGGGGCACGCTGCCGCCCAAGCCCGCCCCTGCGGGGCCGCCCGTCCATCGGCACGTCGTCTCGAGGGTGGGAAGCGGAGGGGCCGTCTCGACGTGCCGCCGCTGCCTGCGCCCGATCGCCGCGGGCAGCCTCAAGCTCGGCGTGCGGTCGCACATCCCGCTCTTCAACCACACCGTCGTCTCGTGGCACCACACGAGCTGCCTCCCGCTGCCCGCCGCGCTGCTCGCCGACGGCGACCGCTGCGCGACGGAGGCGGACGCCGCCGCGCTCCTCGACGAGCGGCTCGACGGCGCGACGACCGTCCTCGCACCCGAAGAGCGCCGCGCCCTCGCCGCCCAGCTGCTGGCGGACCCGCCCCCCGCCCGCAGCAAGGCGGCGGCGGCGGGGCGGCGCGAGGGCCGCCAGCAGGGCCGGCGAGAGCCAAGCAGGAACGTGGCCCCGCGCAGGCGCTGAGAGATGAAGCAGTGAACGGACAGAACGCCGTTTTCCCCGGATGCAGGGATGCATGCCCCGTCGTGATGTGTGGAATGGAATAGTGGGTAGAGCTGCGCGCTATTTTTCTCGTTGACCGCGCAGGATTCGGGGAAGGGTGGCTAATGCCTAATCGCTAAAGGGCTCTCTGCCCGCAAGCGGCGCCCCCGCGTCGCAGGCAGCCCGCGCCGCCGCGCGCGTCGCACAGGACCACAGTCCACGCAGTCGCAGACCCAGAGCGGACGCGGTACCATTGACAAATCCGCTGGTATTGCTGAAAATATCTCTCTCTGCAATGTACCCCCCCACACGTGCACACGAGACGAACAAATAGCAAAATCCGAAAGCATGCCGAGATTTTTTTGAAAAGCACTGTCTGTCTTGTATCTTGAATACCGTGGCGAGACTTGGAGCAGTCGGTAACCTCACGAGACTGCGATCTGCGTGATGACCCGAGGAGTACGACTCCGTGCAAGCCTTCAGCTGGTCCCGGTTTACACCAGAACCTCCGCCAAATCCTTCCTTTAACGTTCTCGGGGTGTGGGGAGTACATGACAACTTGTGTGCACGCGTGCAGGCTGAACAACGGGCCTCTCAGAAGGTTCAGACGCCAGACAGCTAGCGGGACAAAAGATTCTCGCCAATCCAGATACACAAACTTGCCCCCTCGCCCCACGCCGCCACGCGGCGTGGTGCCACCCTCGCCCGAAAATGAACGAAGAGGAACCCGCGCGCCCGAACCCGCTTCTACTTGGGTTTGTCCGCGACACATCGCGGGAAGAGACAGGCCCTTTTCTCGCGCCGGCACGGGGTGCCCATCCCATATCACCCCCGCCGGGACGTGAGAACCGAGGCTATCCTCGTATAACAATCTGAGTCTGCACTCGTGCGTCCCCATGGCTCTCCTGATTTCCCTGAGCTCATCTCGTCGTCTTCTCCGACGCATCGCCACGGTTTACTCCTCGACCGGTCCTACCCAGATCGCGACGGCTCAATCCTGTCCTTGAATCACGAGGAGGTCGATTTCGAGGCGGCCCTAGCGGAGGCGGAGGCGGAGGCGGCTGCGGCAGAGGCCGCGGCGGAGGCTGCTGCAAGGGCCGCCGCTGCCGCCGCCGCCGCGGCTCGTGAGAAGCGAGCCAAGGCGCGCCTGGCTGCCGCAGAAGCCGCCAATTCAAAGGCGCTGCAGATAGCGGCAAATTCAAAGTCGCCGGCAATGTCGGCGGCGCCGACGCCGACGCTGCCGCCTGCACCGGCTGCACCGGCGACGCCGCCGCAGCCGCCTGCACCGGCTGCACCGGCGACGCCGCCGCCACGGGCTGCGACGTCGGACGCACCGCAGGCTCCGGTGCGAGTGCCAGCGCTGCCCGGCGGCTGGGTGATGGAGGCGCAGCGCGTGAGCGTGTGCCGGCTGGAGGAGCTGGCAGAGGCGCACGACGCAACCCAGTGCGGGAGCGAGGAGTGGGTGGCGGCCAAGCACGCGCCGCTGTTTGCGCAGGACAGCGCGCTAATGTTTGGGCACTACGACGCCAAGTTGCGCTGCGACGGCCTCGTCGCCGAGATCCAGCTCACGCCCACGCCCGACCGCTCCTCTTCCCGGCGCTCCACCTCGACCTCCTCGCCCGCGTCGCCCTCCTCGCCCCCGCCGACTCCGGGCTGGGCCGACGACGTCGACGACGACTGGGCCGCCACCAGCGCCTCGCCTCTGGGAGGGGAGTGGAGCCGCGTGCTCCGCGTCTCGGTCTCCTGGCGGCGGTACGAGCTCGTCCTGCTGACGCAGCGGGACGCGTCCGGCTGCGAGCTGGCTCTGACCCGCCCCCGCCGCGTCCGACTCCGCGTGCTCTCTCGTGCCGAGCTGTGGGACTGGGTTCAGCGCTTCCCGCCCACGCTGGTCGACCCGGCGGCATGTGCGGCACTCGCGAAGACAGAGCCGGACGCGTCAAAGACGCAGAGGCTCCGCCTCGCCGCCGCGTACGTGTCGTCGCGCCCGCCAGCCCTTCACTCCGTCCGGCCCTGCTTTGCCTGAGGCTGAAGCCCGAGCGGCGGTTGGGTAGCCGTCTCTCGTCATGCCCGACACACCCACAAGCATGAACCATGATGCCGCGATACCTTTCTTTTTAGTACGTGTACTTTTCGCTTACTGGGAGCACAGGGTCTCTCCTTTTTGTATGTATGTTTTTTGTTAGGTTAGGTTAGGTAGGAAGGTGAAGAACCCTCGGACTGGACACCAACGCGGTATATGGGTGTCTGTCAAGTAACAGAAAAGAAAATAAAAGCAAGCAAAAATTGCAGTAACAGCCAGCAACAGAAAAGAATTTAGACAAAGCAACTCTCTCTCACAGCAGACAGGCTCGACACAGGTGCGAACTGGCCGTGCTAGTACTATCAACAGAAAAGAAAAATAAAAGGGCGATGGTCGCCGCGGGCGGGCTAGCTCTCGTCGTGCCCTGCTACAACGAGGAGGAGCGGCTCCGCTCCGCTGCGTTTGTCTCGTACCTCGCAGAGACGCCCACGGTGCGGCGCGGCCGCCGCCCGCTTGCCTTGTGAGGCCCGCAACCAGGTCTTTTCTGCCACGCGTGGTAGGTGCGTCTGATCTTCGTGGATGACGGCTCGTCCGACGGCACGGTGCCCCTCCTGCAGAAGCTCGTCGCGGCCGCGGCCGGCGGCGCGGAGCTGCTGCAGCTGCCTCAGAATTGCGGCAAGGCAGAGGCGGTGCGGCGCGGGATGCTGCACGCGCTCGAGAGCGACGCACAGTATGGCGCGGTCGGGTTCTGGGACTCGGACCTCGCCACGCCCCTCTCCGCCGTCGCCGAGCTGCACTCCGTCCTCTGCAGCAACCCAGCCCTGCAGATGGTGCAAGGTGTGCGCGCGCGCTCCGCTCGGCAGTCGGCAGTGAACAGCATCCCTTCAAACGGTGGTGTGAAAAGGCGCGCGCGTCGCCCTCCTCGGTCGGAAGATCCGCCGCTCCCCAAAGAGGCACTACGCCGGCCGCGTCTTTGCGACGCTCGCCTCGCTGGCGCCGGCCCCGGCCTCCGCTCGGCACACCCGTGACACGCGTCTCTTCACAGCAGCTGCCGGTGTGAGCAGGTGCTCGACATGCCGGTGTACGACACGCAGTGCGGCGCAAAGATCTTCCGCACGACTCCGGCACTGCGGCGCCCTGCGGACGGCGCGGAATCACGGCCAACCCGTCACTGATGAGTCGAGTACCTCAGGCGCTGCGCACCGTGCTGACGGCGCCTTTCCTCACGCGATGGGTGCCCTTCAGCGCACGGGGGTGAGGCCTCCTCTTGCACTACGGCCCCACACCGGCCGCACCGGTCTCTAGGTCTTCGACGTCGAGATGATTGCGCGCTTCTCCGCGCTGCACCGCACCTCGACCACCACCTCCTCCACATCCACCGCCGACGCCAAGAGCGACGCTGCCCCGCCCTCGCCCTCGGCCTCCTTCGAGGCGCCTCCTCTCTCCACACCGCGGCGGGGGCGTCGACTCGGCGCCTCTTCACGCGGGCACGCGTGAGCAGGTCCTGACTGCCGCCGGCCCCGCCGCCGCCACGCCCGCCGCCGCCGCCAGCGGCGAGGCGCTGCTCGGAGGCGGCACCGAGTCGGCAGCCGAGACGGCGTCCTTCGAGCACTGCATCTTCGAGTGCGTTTCGGCCGCCGCCGCCTCCGCGAGGTGACGGCGGCCTCACAGCTCCGCGCCCTGAGCAGGTTCCCGCTGCACGAGTGGGTCGACGTCGCCGGCTCGAAGCTGCGCCTGACCGACGTGGCTCGCATGGCGTACGGGCTCTGCCAGATCTACGCCACCTACTTCCTCCACGAGTGGCCCTCGGGCGAGCCTTGCACCGCCGCCCAGGCGACTCCAAGTTGGCTCGACCTCGGCTAGCACGGCCGGCTAGCACCTCCACCTCGGCTCCACTTCGGCTAGCACCGCCGGCTGCATCTCCCGCCGCTGAGATCGCCCTCTCCTCACCTCGCAGGCGACGGCACGGCGCTTGCTCTTCGCCTGGGGTGCGCTGCTCTGCACCCTGCTCGCCACCCTCGCCGCGCCGCTGTTGTGGTGGCGCCTCCTCTGAGCGCCGCTTCTCTGATGGCGCAGCGCTGTGGCGAGGCCGCACCGCCCGCACCGCCCTTGCGCTTGTCTTTATTTGCCGGCTGTGGCGGCGCCGTTTGTGTTTTGAGCGGCGCGTGAGCATTACACTCGAGTGAGACATATTGAGCCACCTGTCGTGGCAGATGTGATCTCAGATGAGAGAGAGACACGCTTGTGTGATATCTGATGTGGCGCGAGATGATGGCGGAGAGATATGATCACGTGTCGAAAAAACAAAACAACGTGAAAGGCCTGGACGCGGCACATGCGCGCGTGCCACCACCGACAAGCGACGACATGGGCGCCCACGGCCACGCCTCTAAGTAAGAGCTAGTTCGAGCACGAGCGAGCCAACGACCCGGCTCGCCCAAGTGTGCTGACTGTGGTCTGCACGGCCGGCCGCGCCCGCCAAGAGAGGGATGGGGAGAGAGGGGGAGCAGCGCATCACTTTGACTCGACGGCCAGTCGCTTGAGATGGTCCATGAACACCTACTCGCGGCCAGAGGTGTGAAGAGGGGCAGCTCGGCGCGGGTCGCGGGAGAGGGCGCGTGAAGACTTGGAACGAGACGTCGTCAGTGAAGAGGAAGTCGGACGAGGCGGCGCCTGCTCACGGGTGCTCACGGGTGTGCGCGTCAAGAGGCGGACTTCACACACCCCGCTCCGGGAAGGAGACGGAGTCGAGCGAGGGGCGGGACCGGGCTGCGACGGGCTGTGCGCGGCTGTGTCTGGGTTGCGTCCCGGCTGCTTCTCGGCGGTGTCTCGGCTGCATGCTCACCCGACTGCGACGAGTTATGCGTGACCGACGGGTTGAGCTTCGCGAGCAGGAAGCGGGCCTGCGAGCCGTACTGGTCGCACTCGATGTACATCGGCACGGGGAAGCGCTGCTGCAGCAGCTCGGCCGCGTCCTCCTTGGGCGCCGAGAGGAGCTCGCGGAAGTTCTGGTGCTCTGCGGTCTCGTGGTAGCCCTGCTTGCGCCACGCGGAGATCGTCTCGCCGTGGTAGACGATGACGTGGAAGAAGGTGTCGAGCAGCAGGATGCGGTCGGGGGCGATGGAGGTGACGTCGAGCAGCACGGGCACGGGCGGGCCTGTGGCGGCACCGGGCCCGGGGAGGGACTGCTCACGGCCGAGGGGCGCGGCGAGGGGCACACGCGGGCATGGGGGCGGTCGGGCCCCTCGGGCGAATCTGCGTCTCGGCTGCATCTCGGCGGCATCTCGGCTGCATCTCGGCTGCATCTCGGCGGCATCTCGGCGGCATCTCGGCGGCATCTCGGCTGCATCTCGGCGGCATCTCGGCGGCATCTCGGCGGCATCTCGCCCTCGAAGGAGTAGGCGAGCAGCGTGGGCTGGATCATGATGAGCGAATTGGTCGTGTTTTCGCGCGCAAAGATGAGGCGGTAGTACGTGGTCTCGTCAGGCGAGTTGCCAAAGACCTAGAGCCGAAGTGGCGTTGAAGTGGAGCCGAAGTGGCGTTGAAGTGGAGGCGAAGTGGCGTTGAAGTGGAGGCGAAGTGGAGGCGGAGTGGAGCCGAGGTGGGACCGAGGTGGAGCCGCGGTGTAGCCGAGGTGGAGGTGCGTGGTCGCTGGGCCTGCAGGAACTGCGAGCGGCGCAAGTGGAACATGAACTGCGGGTAGATGGAGAAAGCGGACGAGAGGCGGAACGAGGCGGGGTCGTCCTTGCGGTAGTCCGCAAACTTGCCAACCAGCCGGATCAGCATGCGGTCGATCCAGCGAAGGATGTCGAACGCCTGAGGAGGTCGGCGCTCCATCCTGAGAGATCCGCCAGCCGGTGCGGGTCGATCCAGCGGAGCAGTGACCGCGCCTCCTCCGTCTGCGTCTTGTGCGAAGCGATGCGCGCCATCAGCACCGCCGCGGCCTCCTGGTCGAAGCCGCGCGCCATCTCGCCCGCCTGCGCCGCCTCGGCCCAAGGCCGCGCCAGCGTGGTGACGCGCAGCCGGTACTGGCCCGACGAGTGCTGGTACGAGGTGAGCAGCTGCAGGTAGCGCTGCCCGCCCGCCTGCTGCTGCTGCTGCCCTCCGCTCTGCGCCGCCATCTCGAAGTAGAGCGCGAGCGTGGTGTCCTCGTCGAGCCCGCCCACGCTCCACGCATTCGTGTTGCCGAGCCCGATCTCCGTCTCCCCTGCTCGAGGCGCAGCGCCGAGATCGCGCCGAGATCGCGCCGAGATCGCGCCACTTAGCCCCGCCCTCCGCCTCTCCGCGCCGAGAGCCATCTCTCGGCGGTCTCTCGGCGATCTCCCGGCTACGTCTCGCCGACGTTGTTCGACTTTTTGCCGAGCGAAGCGCAGTTGCCGATGGCGCCGCACACCTTGAACTCGTTCGAGGTGAGCACCTCGACCGTGCCTGCTCGCAGCAGCAGCCGGTGTGAAGGCGGCTCACCCGCCGGAGACACAGCCCCGTCTCAGGACCGCCTCCGAAAGCCATCCGCAGCGCCGTGCCCGACGCGTCGCGCGCGAAGACCTGCGAGAGCGACTGCTTGAAGATGTTGCCTAGGCGGGGGGCCAGAGGCAGCTCAGGGAGTGGCAAGAGCAGGCTGCAGCGAGAGCGCTGCTTGAGAGCTCTCGCCGGTGAAGGACTCGGACATGACCGTGTACCCGCCCGTCCGCTCGACCACGGCCCGCATCTCCGCCACGCCGACCTGTCCGCACCGCAACCCCGCTGTGAAGAGAGCGGCTCTCGCCTTGGCGACCTCCGCCGCCCCCCGCCTGGTCGAGCGCGCAGGCGAAGATGTCGAAGACATGCCCAACCTTGGGGTGGGGCGAGCCGTCGTGAGTCAGTCCTCGGCAGGTCACCGCTCACGAGGCGGTCGAGGGCGTGTGGCGGGCATTTTGAGGCGGAGATATGGGGAGACATGGGGAGACATGGGGAGACATGGGGAGACATGGGGAGATGTGGCGGGCCTTTGAGGCGCGCTGCGCCACTCCGGCGTAGTGCTTGAGCGCCTTCTTCATGTGCTTGACGTTGCCTGCAGGCAGGCTTGAGCGCAGGGTCTGGGAAGGGTCGAGCACGGACCCCGCCCTCGTTCAGAGGTCGACGCTGCCCGTCTCCTTCTCGATGTCGTGGTGCGACCGGATCGGCTCGGCCAGCGGGCAGCCAACCTGCTCACACCCCCCTCCTCACGCCGGCCCCTCACGGACCGCCCGCGCGGCAGGCAGACCCACCGTCTGCCCCGGCCCGATGGTGCACGGCCCGCCCGTGAAGAGCATCACGCGCGCGCCTAGCTCACGGACGGACAGCTGTGAACGGCGGCCGACCTTCGCCGCCGGTGCAGCAGCGCCGCGTCTCGCGCGCCCGTGTTTGGGAAGGCGAGCTCTAGCAGCGAGACGGCGATCGACGCGGCGGCGCCGGTGCAGCGCTGCGGCCGCGAATCGGAGGGCACCTGCGCACGAGGCGGCGCGAGGCTTGACTGCCGCGGCTGCTCGAGCAGGCTGCTCGAGCAGGCGGCGCGGGCTGGCGGGTCGTGGCGGACCGGCCACGGGTCTCGCCGCAGCTCGGAGAGGACGTTTGAGATTGCGAACTCCGCCTCCGAGATGGGCAGCAGGAAGCGGGCCGACGCAGAGCGGGCGTCCGCGGGGCCGCCCTGCCCCGCCGCCCTGCCGCCGCGGCCTGCACCTCCCGCGGAGATGCCTGCGCGGCACGGGGTAAGGGTCGGGGTCGGGCACGGGGCCGTGGGGAAGGCGGCGGGCAGGTGTGCGGCGGGGTGCGGCGGGGCGCCCAGCTGCTCGGCGAGCTGGGCCGGGGCCGGGTCCTTTGTCCCCTTGAAGGTGTAGCACCTGCGCAGCAGCGGCGCGCGCGGTGGGAAGAGGACTGGAGGCTGCCGGGTCTGTGCCTGCGACGTGTCGCACTTGGAGCAGTGCTCGAAGCCGAGCTCGTGGACTTGGACGACGGTGCCGAAGGTGATGAGGCCGATGAGCGCCGTCGGCGCCGCGGAGGCTAGCAGCTGCAGCACTTGCTCGAGCGAGTCCTTGAGCGCCTGCGGCTCGCGGCGCTGCGAGGTGGGCGGCGCTGGCTGCCTCTCGGCTGCCTCTCGGCTGCCTCTCGGCTGCCTCTCGGCTGCCTTTCGGCTGCCTCTCGGCTGCCTCTCGGCTGCCTCTCGGCTGTACGTGCCTGCAGCTCTGACTCCTCGAGGCAGGTGTCGACGACCCAGAGGAAGACGGGCGGGCCGGCGGGCGCACGGGGGAGCGCATACTCGATGGTGGTGTACTGCGGGGGAGGGGAGGGGCTGAGGGGCGGAGGGGGGGGGGGGGGGGCTGCGCACACGGGCGCTCCGAGGGCAGCCGGCAGAGAGAGGCGCCACGGTGCCGTCGGATCGGGGGAAGACGGCACACGACCATCTCCCTCCACCCCATCCCGCTGCGAGTGGGAGAGAGTGCAGGCTGCTCACGCACCGCTGGAAGCAAAAGGGACAGACCCAGATCTTGGCCTTGAAGTCGATGCGGCAATACGGGTTGAGCATCGCGGGGCACGTCCCCTTGCACATCACCGGCTCGTACGGCAGCAGCGGGAGGCCCTCAATCGCCTGGTGGTGGCGACGGCAGCGGTGGCGGCGGCACGGGCGGGCGGCGGTGAGAGCGGCGGTGAGGGCGACGGAGACGATGGCAGGCGATGTGGGAAGGCCAGCGGCGATCGCGGCGAGCTGGTGGCATTGGCCGGGAGGGAGGAGGTTTCACAGGCGGCCCGCGCCTTCAGCGGTGTGTACAGGCAGCCAAGGGGCACCACGATGCGCGTCGCCTCGAGGCGTGAGCTCGGCCACACGTTCCACGAGAAGCGCACGCCGTCGGTAGCCTCTACGTCGTGGAAGTCGCCCATGGCGGAGCGGAGTTCGCAAGCCCGTGGGCTAGAAAGCAGCAGCGCTGGGTACACCTAAGTCTCGGCGAAAGAATTCGATTCAACTCCACACCCCTCTCCGACGTGTCTGTCCTCGACCCAGCCCTAGCTTGGGATGTCCGTTGTATTTATTTATTTATTTATTAAAATCCCTGTGTGGTGGCGGCGTGCCGTCCTCCCATCCCTCCCTTGGGTTGTCCGTTTTCTTTCTTTCTTTCTGGCCCCTCCCTATGTGTAAGAGCGCGCACGAGTGGGTGTGCGAGCAATATCGAAAGACGGTGAGGAAAGCGGCGAGTCGCAATTGATCCATGTGCTGCTTGGCACGTCGATGGTGGTGGCGGAATGTGGTTGTGGGTGAGTGGCGGCAGCATGTGGGGGCCGTTAGCCTGCGTTTTCTTTCTTTCTTTGCGGCCCGTTGGATCTTCCATTTATTTCTTTGCGCGCACGAGAAAGGACGACAGCCGCCCGCCAGAGTTTTCTATCCTGGAGTTTCGTTGTAACCTTCTCTCTTAATATCATCGCAAACCCCGTCAGCAGTCCTCCTCCGGGAATGTACGTAAGAGCTACATACACTGAGAGAGGCCGACTGCGCTGAGTGGTAGGGCCCCCAAGGGCCTAGAAATCGCGCCTGCCTCTCCCTTTTCTCCCAGTAAGCTAAAAGTACACTGAAATATCTATCTGACACGCCGCAAGGACGCACACGAGGACGCACGTCCCTGGCACGTTCCAAATATGGCCATGATCGCCTCCTCAGAGCACTGGCTCGACTCGGCCCTTACGCTCCTTGCGGATAGCACTCGACTCAGCCAGTTCCTCGTCCTCTACCAGCTCGTCTTCCTGCTCGTCGTCCTGGCTTGCCTTGGTGCACAGCTTTTATTGACTGCCTGCTGCAACGTTTGGCGCCGCGAGGATGGGTTAGGCGGGGCCATGTGCCTTCAGCGGCACCGCCTCCCTAGCCTGGCGAAGCAGCGCTAGTCCTGGCGCGGCGGTACACGGGGATCGTGCTTCGTGGAGCCAGGCCCCGAGTCGCGGACAGCATGCATTCGAGAGATGGCGGCAGCGGGGGCTGAGCGACTGGGGCCCAAGAACAGATCAGAGTATACGACGGGCGTCCAGACATCCTGGCAGTCACGCTCGCCTTTGGCCCACCTTCCGCCGTGATGCCGCGATCACGGTGACAGTGTCAGCGTCACCACACTTTGAGAGAGCGGTGTGCCAGACCGGCCATAACGATGAGCCCTCTTGGACGGAAGACAAACCCCCCCTCGATCTCTCCTGTGTCATGCTATGCGCTGTGTGTGCAGCGCGCTGAGCAGATCGCCGGAGTATACAGCGTTGGGTGTGTGGGTGTTTCACAGCGGTTGCCAGCCCTCGCGGGGACCCGCGTCGAGACGCGCGCGAGGAGAGACGGCGCAGAGGGCGGGGGCGCGCGGGGAATCTCGGGGACTCGAAGTGTGTCTGAGGTGTGTGTTTGCGTTTTATTAAATGTTTTTGTTGTTTGGGCTTTTCGGATACGCCTCGGGCAGAGTTTCACCGCCAGCGGCCGGGAGGTCGTCGGTCGCTACTTTTAGCCTTTTTACATGCGGCGACACTGGCGACATGTGTCAACTGTCATGACACACAGGAACGCTCTCCAGCCCGATCGACCGAAAAGCGAAACCCTCTCTCACCCTGCGCCACGAAAACACGAGAGCGCGCGGCCGGTGCAAACAGCGCAGCGAGGCGAGGACGGCCAGAAGAGAAGCGCGGCCGGCCAAGCGCGGGATAACGGACAGCAGTGCACGGCCCCGAGGTGGCGAGCCGGCGGCAGCCCCTGCGGAAGGTAGGCTCAGTCCATCTGGTCGATCGGCGTGAAGTTGAGGCCGAGGCCGTCGTTGCCCAGCTCGATGTACTTATTGATGGCGTCCTTGCCCTTGGCGTACGCGTCCTGCGCGATCTTGCGCCGCTTGCCGTCGTCCATCGCCTGTGGTGAGGCCAGGACATGTCGCGGAAGGGTCGTGCGGCGAGGCCAGGAGGCAGGAGCGGCTGGCGGCGGTGGGAGCGGTGCGCGCAGCGGCGGGCGGCGGTGGTGACGGAGGGCGGCGCAGCACGCCTTTGGCCCACCAAAGCCAAAGAAGCCGCCGCTGCCCTCCTTGCCGCTCGCGGCGGAGCGCAGGTCACGGCACGCCTGAGGAGGTCGGGCAAAGTGAGGGACAGGAGCCGCGCTGTGCCCCGCACCCCCACCTCCCGAGACCGGCAGAGAGGAGAGGGAGGGAGGGAGGGAGGGAGAGGAAGAGTGGGAAGGGAGAGGAGTTGCGTGTGCGGCTTCACCTCGCGCAGCTCGTCGATGGCGTCGTTCATCGCGAGCGTCTTCGGCGAGATCGTCTTCGACGAGAAGGAGGACGACCACAGCTCGAGCGGGCCGAACAGCCGGTCAATCGGACCTTTGGAGGTGAGGGCCGGAGGTGAGGGCAGTGGAGGTGAAGGCAGCGGAAGGTGAGGGCAGCGGAGGCGAGGGCAGCGGAGGCGAGGTCGGAGCCGTGCGGGGGAAGGAATGCAGGCAGGGGTGCAGCGGAGAGGAGGACTGCGGCAGTGGGCAGAGAGAGGCGGCAGTGAGGAGAGCTTCAGTGAGGAGAGCCGGCACTGAGGCAGTGAGAGAGCACACCCTTCTTCTCGAGCGCCGCCTGGATCGCGGCCCAGTCGCCACTGCTCACCTGCTTGCGCAGGCCTCCCGCCCAGTAGTCGCGCCCGCGCTCCACACGCGGCACATACCGCGTGTACGCCTGCTGCCGCGTCACCAGCGTAGACTCTGCCCGCGCCTGCGCCGCCGGAAGTAGCGCCGAGAGCCCGGCCGCCGCCGCGACGACCTCGCGGCGAGAGAGCGAGAGGTCATCCGAGGCAAGGCAGGCGGGCTGGCCGACGCGGACTGGGCCAACGGCCAGGCGCGAGGCGCCGACCGGCGAGACGACGACCGACGGCGAGGCGGCGAGCAGCGAGAGCATATCTGGGAGTGGTTTCTAGCGAAGGTCGGGAAGGGAAAAGAAAAACGAAAGAACCCGGACCTAAGACCCTTCTAGTCAGCGTGCCGTTCTCCCATCCCTCCCTTGGGTTGTGTGTTTTCTTTCTTTCTTTCTTTCCTTCTAGTCAGTGAGAAGAAGGAAGAAGGAGGCGAAACAGTGTCACACCAAAATGTCGACAAATGTGAAAATACGCTGAAGACACGCACAACTTTCGCGTCGAGCCGTGCTACCTCGCCCTGCGGGCCGACCGCTCACCACAGCTCACACCTCCCCTTTAAAATGCCGTTGCTGCCGGACCTGCCCTTCACGCAGTCGAGTGCCTATCACCTAGCAATCTGCATGTGGTACGACACAGCCATCGCGAGCTCTGCCGGCATCGCCGCCGACATCAACCGCAGGTACGCGGAACGGCACGGCTTTGCATTCGTCTCGAGTGATGTCGTCTACAGTCCGGATCGCCGCCCATCGTGGCAGCGGCTGAGCCTGATGCTGCGCACTCTCGAGGGCGGAGTGCAAGGCACACCTGTGGCCGCTGTGCTGTGGCTCGATGCTGACGCAGTCTTCCTGCATGAGAACGGCGACGCGCTTGCTGCGCAGCTCGAGGCACACGGCATTGTGGGTGGCGGGCGAGGCCCCGACATCCTGCTCTCCGGCGATCGTCCGTCCGACCTCTTCGTCAATACGGGAGTCATGGTCGTCCGCAACACGCCCTACGCGCGCGCTTGGCTGCGCTGGTTTATCAGCCTCAACGCCAGCCGGCCCGAGACGAGCAAGGACGCGCCGATATGCCTCAAGCTGCTCATGCGCTTCCCGTGGGAGCAGGGCTGTATCGGAGAGCTGTGGCACCGCAACGCGAGCGCGCTTTGGAGGCACGCCAAGCTCCTGCCGTACGGCGCGCTTCAGACGGCCGCCGCGCCGCCTCAGTTTGTGCGGCCGAGTGCTCCAATTGTGCACTTCATGCACGGGATCCCGCACCTCGGCAGCCGCACCGAGCCGATGGATCAAAAGGACCGTGAGGACGGGCTGCAAGTGGTCAAAGAGCGGACCGATCTCGTCCTCTCTGGCGGAACGCCCGCACCACTCCCGCTGGTCAAGTTCTTCTCGCGGCTCACGCTAGGGCCACACGAGACTATGGCGACGCTCCTCAACGCAAAGCTGCCGCTCTACCTGTTTCCGCACGACTACCTCACCTCCACCCGCTACTTGAACCCACCGTCAGACAAGCAGCCCAGCGAGTGGCCGCCGGGGGACCCCGCGCTGCTGCTGAGCGAGGCTCCGCGAAGCGGGGGCAGCGGCAGCGGCACCGCCCGCGCAGCGTTGGACGCCAAGCGCGAGTCTCGGGATCTGCCAACTCGGGACCCGGGGGTCGAGAAGCAACTCACCACTGCGCCTCCGGTGAGGAGGCCACGGAGCCAGCCGATATTACCGGGGTGGAAGCTGAGGCGGGAGGCCCCGCCAGCAGAGCTAATCGGTCGCGGATAGAGTGAACAAAGGGCAAAGGCGGGCGACTACCGACTCTTGTCTCTTCGAGCACCGGGGGAGACATGTTGATGAGGAGCACTGGCGTGACGCGTGCATGCGCGATGCGGAGGCGCGCGCGTACACAAAAATATCTTGCGCGTTTGTGGGGATGTCAATTATTGATAAATAATTATACTCTCGAGTCTCATTGAGCAGCTGCACTCTAGAGAACGCGCACGGGTCGCGCGGTCGGGGCAGGCGCGCAGCGCGAGGGCGCGCGTGGCTCTTTGGCGTCCGTTTTGGGATTGTAGTCACACGGCTCAAGAGAGAAGTCGACAGTGAGCATGTGGCGATGCAGCCACACAATCAAGGCTCGAGTGAGGCCCAGCGCGTCTCCGGCGGCGGCGCGTGCCGGCGAAGGAAGGCGATGAAGCGCGCCGCCACGGCCTCCGAGAAGTCGCCGTCGCGCCACCGCTCGAGCAGCTCGGAGTTCGGTGCAAGGCGCGCCACCTGATGTTGACAGGAGTCGCCGTGGGCGCGAGGCGCCACAGAACGGGAGAGGTGCTGCCCGCCGCAGCGGCCGCGCGCACCTCCCTCGCCACCTCGGCGGGGTGGTAGATGTCTTTCCCTGTGCACAAGAGAGCCGCGCGTGAAGAGGCGCTGCTACAGCTACGTGAGCTGGGCGGTCGACGGCCGTGGCCGGCGGTCACGAGCAGCGGCGTCTGCACCGCGGAGACCTCCTCGCGCGACGCGGAAAAGACGAACTCTTCGGTGCCGCTCTCGAACATCGCTCCGTGCAGCCGCTGCAGCTCGGCGTCGGTCGCGCGGCCGGCGGAGCACATCTCCTGCGCCCACGCACCGAACCAGTCGCGCGTGGAGGCGGCGTTGGTGCCCTCCCACCCGCCTGCCTCCGTCGTGTGCTCCGCCACGCCGATGGGCTGCAGCATCAGCGCGCCGCTGAAGCGCTCCGGCGAGTGACGCAGCAGCCGAAAGATGTACGACGGCCCTGCGCACGAGGCCAGTGCCGAGTTTTGGCCGAGATGGAGGCGAGGTCTATATCCGCAGCCGGAAGAGCCGGGTGGTGTGTGCAGCGGCGTGCGTGAGAGACTGACTGAGACTGACTGAGACTGACCGATACACTGGCCGATGAGCAAGCAGCGACCGATCCCGAGGTGGTCGAGCACGGCAATCTGGTCCTCGGCGAACGCGTCCCAGCCGGCCGCTGCGTCCACCGGCCCGGAGGAGTCTCCTGCGTTCCGCTGATCCATGGCGACCACGGTGAAGTCCTCGTCGCCGAGGCGGCTCCACGCGTCCCACGGCTGTGCGCGCCACATCCCAATGGAGGAGCGCATGCCGCCGGGCGCAATCAGCAGGACGGGGATACCCGCAGTCGCACCGCGCACGGCAAAGGCGATGGTGGCGCCGCGAGTGGCGACAGTGCCCGATCGCACCAGCATTCGTTCGTCGGAAACGCAGCGGGCGTTGCCCAAAGAGACGGAGGAGCAACGAGCGCCCTGGCGTGAGCCGAAGACACTCCCTCCGTAGACACTGATCACACACGGGTGGGACAGGGTGGGTCACAACAACGAGGCACGAGAGCGTGCACGACAGAGCGACGGCGCAGCGTACCGCCGTCCAGCTAAAAAGCGGCGGCCGACGGTTGCTGCGCAAAGTGATCAGTTCTAAAATAGGTGCCGGGGCCCAACGGATAGATGAATCCGGGGCACCCTCCGCTCGAATCCCTGGCCGGGGGTTCGAGGTGGCCCCCACCCTGGGGCCTCCCATCAAAGGGACTGCGGCAGAAGACGCCCAATCTTGCACAAGTGCAAGAACCATACGTCGCTAAAGTCGACAAGGCAGCGACTTTTTTTCGATTTGGCAGCGAGCGTATAAACTGCGCGGTTTTGTTTTCTTTCAGGGGAGGGTTGGGAAGGGGGGGCGAGGCCGGAGGAGTATGACGGCCTCTTCGACGGCCCATAAGGGGCCGTTGTCTGCTGTGCCTTTTGTGGTGCTAGTTCGTGCCAGTCTGCTGTGAGAGGGGCTTGTATTCGTGGAATTCTTCTTTCTCTCTCTCCTTGACGTCACAGCGCGCCCGATCAAGGCGGGCTCGAGCGACGAACACTGCACATGCTGCTCACCATCGCCGCGGAGCTGCTTCCGTACTCGTCATTCCTCTCGACGTCGAGTTTCCTCCTCAACGCAGCCTTTCGCCCCGCACCACTCTCTACAATCATCTCAACCGTCGTCGAAGCTGCAAAGGCCGTGCCAGCAGCCGCGTGCAACCTCGCATCCTTCGGCTTCACCATCTCTCTCGGCCTCGCGATGCTCTGCGTGCCGCTCGTTATCTCGACGTGTGTATGGACGGTCTGGACTCTGGCCGCCGTCGGACCCGCCCGCAAGACCCTCTCAACCATCCTCATGTGCGGACTGGGTCCGCTTGTCCTGCCTCTCCTCTCCTCTATTGTCCTCGGCATCGCCTGGGTAGCCTTCAGCGTGCTGGCCGCAGCAGCTGCCACGTTGCTCCCCTGTGTGGTACTCCTCAGCGCTCTCTACTGGGGACTCGTCAGCGCGGCGGAGTTTCGCACCAGGGAGAGGCGAAAGCCGCAGGACGGCGCGCAGGACATCACGTTCACAGAGATGCTTCTGGCCATCTTTGCCGCCGCCACCTCCCTCGCCGTCACCGGCCCGGTCGTCCTCCTCCTCACGCTGATCAAGAGCCCGTTGGTGCTCCTCGGAGCCACTGTCTTAGCTTCATCGCAAGCGCTTGGCGCAATCTGGAAGTCAAGGGCTGGTCCGTTTGGCTCACTTCTGCTGCTGGTCCTGTTCGCCCTCGGGTTTTCGGTCGGCGTGCCTTGCCTCGCCATTGCCATCGCCCTCTCCGCGCTCGTCAAGCTCGTCGGGTGCGCGCTGTGGCCTGGGTACGTCGCGTGTGGCTGGCTGCGGACCGTTGGCGCCAAGCGCCGGGTGGCACACCGCCGCCTCACTGTTCGAGCAGTGCGCGCGCGGCTGTCGGATGCGAGCAAGGCCGCTTACCAGGTGGTCTGGCTCTCCGACATTGTCACCAATGCCAGTATCTTGCTGCGACCTGACCTCGCTGCGCAGGCCGTACACGAGTTCGGCGACCTCGCCCGGGGCGCACGGCGCGAGCTATCGCCAGAGGTGAGGTGCGTCTCGTGGTTTCCGCCAGCGGTGATCGGAGTCTTTGGTGGCCGGGTCGGCGACGGCGGTGGGGAGTGGCGTGTGGAGGTGGGGAGGCTTGCGGCCAAGGCAGGCGTGGAGAGCGGAGCTTTCGAGAGGATGTGGGGGGCATTCTTTGCTGCCGTCGAAGCCTCCGGCCGCCGGTGCCTCGCAGAGGGCCTGTTGACTGAGGACGCCATCCTCGAGGCGCAGCCTAGCCTAATCGTCGGGCTGCCCTCCCTCGTGCTCTTCGAAGCCGTTGTGCGCTCGCCACCCAACGACGACGCGCTCACCTTGCGCGACGGCACCGAGCTCACGAATAGCAGCCGACCGCGAGGCGCGTGGGCTGATGCGCGCTGGGCCGAGCTGATGCGGGCCAAGCACAAGTGGCAGCAGCACGAGGCGCGGATCCTGTCCGGCCTGGGTAGCGACGCGCTGCAACGGTCGCGCCGTGCGTTGGAGGCGGTCCTCCTCGCTGGCGGCGAGGATCCGACGGAGCTGTCGGAGAAGCTGGCGGCGCTGGTTGGCCCAGGGGAAGAGGAGCTGTCTGGTCCGGAGCGCGACGTGCGACAGGCACTCTACGCCGCCGCCCTCGCGTGCGCGGGACACGCCATCTTCAAACGGCATTGCAACGATGCGCTGCAGGCGGTCCTCTCGGTCGACTGACTGGAGCTTGTGCATGATACACCGAATGGAGGGAAAGAGCGGCCCTTTGGCGGCCGGTAATTTTTTCTATGCTAGAGAGGACTTATAAAATCGCTCCTCATCCGGCAAGCCCCGCTGTCAGCAGTTCACCCCCTCGAGTATGTAGAAAGAAAGAAAACAGAGAAGCCAAGGGAGGGATGCGGGGAGGACCACGGCACGCCGCCACCACACAGGGATTTTAAGGAGAGGAGTGTGGTGGTGCTAGCTGCTACCTGCTAGCCGTCGCCCACCCTTGGGAGTCTGCCTCTTCCTATCTCTCTTCGCAGTCTCTCGCCGCTTCTCGCTGCAACCTTCATGCCACCTCGCGGTCGTCCCACTCTCGTCGTTCTCTCCCCTGTCGGCTGTCGCTTGACGCTTCATCCTCTGACTCATCGCGCTCCTCTGCCTCGTTCTGTGACGACGCCGACGGGTATGTTCGTAAGCATTCCGGGGAAATTCTTTTCTACCTAGTACGCAGTGTGCGCCCTCCTGTCTGGTATAGAACAGCCACTCCGCTGTGAACCTCTCACAGACCAGCGCATAGCGCCATAGGACGTATTTTCTTGTCAATAACAAGGCTGTGAACACCGAGGGGCCTCCGTCGGCTTGCGCTCCTGCTGGTCGGAGAAGAAGTGCGCCCTCTCGCTTCGCTCGACGCCACCCCTTGGCAGCAATGGCTGACGTACCAAATGCAGCTCCTGTCGCCTGCGTGCTGGCCGGCCACGGCTTATTCCTCCTCGGATGCGGCTGGTACGGCGCCAAGATCTCCGGCTGGACAGCCATGCACAGCCTGTACGCTGGCGCTGGAGGCGGCGCAGCGCTGGGTGTCTGCGGCCTCCTCACCGTTGGCGGCACGCGTAAGCTGTACATGATCGGTGTGCACGTCGGCCTGTTGCTCCAGGTTGCGTTTAGCGCCGTCTTTGGGCTGCAAGCGTGGAGGTCGTACGGCGTACCAGCCAAGGCGGACCGGTTTCCGCTCTTTGTCGTCATGTGCGGCGGCTCGGTGCTCGCGCTTGGGCTGATGCGCGCCTTCAAACCGAAGGCTAAGGAGAAGAAGTGAGAGGCGCCCCGTGCATAGTTCAGCCCCCAGCACGGGCTAAAGGTAGAACGACAAACTTACTTGTGATCTTGAGCATGCGCACAACCGCCCGGCCGCCCGCGGTACCCTGATCCCTGTCATAGTCACTGTACCTTTTTAACACTATATGACTTTGGAGAATTCACATGACTTTAGGTTGAAGACACACACTGACGAGAGAAGGTGCGCTACGATACCACGCGCACGGGATTAGAGCATGATTCCATGAAAATTCCAGCGCTACAGTTCATCGTCCAAGTCACCTGCTGCTCTTCTGTCCTCCGTGCCGGTGCCGCTACCGGCCCGGCACGGCTGCGAGAGACAGCTCTCGCCGCCCGCCCCGTCTCCACTGCCACCGCCGCCGCCAGAAGCGGCGGCCTCGCTCACCACCACCGCTGGCGCCTCCGCAGAGGGGACCAGCTTGACGAGGGCGGCGGGCACCTGCTCACAGCTTGCGGCGTGAAGAGGGGACCCTCGCGCGGTTGGGACGAAGGCCGTGAAGAGGGGACCAGCTGAATGAGGGCGACGGCGACGGCGCGGGCGAGCGAAGCGCTGGCCGCCGCCGCCTCTGCCGCCAGCGACGCGAGGGTGGGGCCCCACCGGAGCACGAGCGGGCCGCCGTGCGCCGCGCCCGCCTGCTCACAGCTCGGAGCTGTGAAGAGACGCCGCCCACTTATCACGAGACGCGTCCGCCGCCTTCGCCTCGACAGCGCGAGAGCAGAACGACGCGGCGGCGGCGGCGGCGTCGCGGGCAGCAGATGCGAGGGCTGGTCCGTGGAGGGCTGCGGCGGCCGCCGCGCCAGACGCCAGACGCGACGAGGCCGCCGCCGCCGCCGCCGCCGCCGCGCCGCCCCGCCACGCCGCGCCGCCGACAGCAGAGCTGGCCGCGATGGCGGTGCTCGAGAGGGCGGAGGAGAGGGCGGCGGCGTTGGCGGCGGCGGCGGCGGCGTGGGGGCGGAGCGCCGCAGCCGCGTCGCGCAGTGTGGCGCCTGCCGTGCGGCGCGTGTGCGGCGACATGAGCAGCACCAGCGGGAAGAGCGAGAGCACCTGAGCGCCCGAGGCGCACGCGTGAGCCGTTCACTCTGCGGCGGGTCCGGCGCGAGAGCAGCGGAGGCACGATGTGGGGAGGAGAGGCGGAGACGGCGCCGCACGCGACGATCACCCAGATCAGGTCGGAGGAGGTGAGGTGCAGCAGCGGCTCGAAGGCGCCTGCTCACAGCTAAATGCCTGTCCAGCGGCGGCAGCCCGACGCGTGACGGCAGCGGCGCAGCGGCGCCGAGGGCGTCGGCGAGGAGGTAGAGGGTGGCGAGCGCTGCGACGCCCGCGAGGGGGGAGGAGTGCGGGCAGGCGCGCCAGAAGAAGCCGCCAAACAGGTAGACCTGTGCCGCGCGTCGCAGGTGTGGAGAGGCGGCAGGGCCCAGGGTGCGGGACAGAGGTGCAGCCCGCCAGTGCGGCGCCACCAAGGCCCGAGTGCAGCATCGCGGGCACCGCGGCGGCCGGGAGAAGGACGAAGAGGACAAAGCCGTCGAGCGGCGAGCCGAGCGGCGCCAGCATGCTCCGGAAGCTCTTGTCCCGCCGGCAGACGGCGGTGGCGGGAAGGACCGCGAGCGAGGCGACGAGGCCAGTCAAGAGGTAGAGCTTGCAGATCACGAGCAGGATGAGGTATGCCTTGCCGACAAAGGCTGCCAGCTCGGGCCAGGGCGTATCTGGTGCCGCCGACGAGGACGACGAGCGCTGCGTGCTCTCCGATCCGCGAGGCGTGCTGTCGGGAGGATCGGCCGGCGCCGCCGCCTGTTGCTGCAGCAGGCGTATGCCGACAAGGGAGGCGAACGTGGCAAGCGAGGCAGCGGCGACGCCGAGCGTCATGACGATGGAGCCGGCGAGCAGGTCGGCAATCATCGGGCGGCAGGTGTCCTTCCGCCTATCTAGCGGGCCGTGCGATGCTGGCGCGAGGATTTTTTATCAGGCGTCTTCTTGCTGTTTATTCACAGGTTGCCCAGGTTCCCTGGGGTCGCCTCGTGAATAAACGAGTATAAACACGTGATTTTTTATTGCAATACCGGGCGCGCCAGGCATTACCTCCTTTACGTGTGATACGTGGCGATGTTTTGTGACGACCATCTACTGTAACTTCAAAGTGCTCGAAGTGTGTCCAACGTGGAGACTCTGATCGTCGCGAGATCCTGCGTGCCGTGCCTAGTCGCGCTGCTCGAGTACGCCTTTCTGGGCCGCCAGCTCCCATCCTGCCGCTCGTGGCTCGCGATGCTCGTCATGTGCAGTGTGGCGCGGTGGGCTACGTTATGAGCGACGCGGGCCTTGATGGCAGGGTTGACAGCATACACCTTGATCACAGTCTACTTTCTCGTGGTAGCAGTGGAATCCGCCTACGGCAAGCATATCGTTGGCCCACACCTCGGCTTTGGAAGCATGTGGGGTCCGACGCTGTACACCAACACTATCTCCATCCCCCCGATGGTCGCTATCGGGCTCCTCTCTGGTGAGCAAGAGGCTCTCTTGCGTCACGCCGACTGCTCCAAGTCCAGCCCGGTGGAGGATGCCGACTCGAACCAAGCCGTCGTTCTTCTCGTCCTCATCTCGTGCGCTCTCGGCGTGGCTGTCGCGTTCCTCGGCTTCGAGGCTAGGAGGCTCGTGTCGGCGACGTCGTGCTTCACAGTGTTGGGCGTGGCGGGGAAAATGGCGACGGTGACCGCCAACGGGCTGATCTGGGACAAGCACGCCTCGCCCGAGGGTATTGCGTTTCTGGCGGCCTGCCTGGCCGGTGCGGCCATATACCAGCAATCTCCGCTGCGAAGCGGGGCGATCCAAAGGAGAGATGACTTTGCCGCTATCTAGATAATCTGGGTTCCGGCTCCTACCCAGACAGGGGGTCTGTTCACCACGGTTAGACCCTATGCAAAAGGTAGGTATGGTGGGGTGGTGGTGGTGGTGGTGGTGGCGGGGGGTGGGGGAGGGAGGGTGTAAAAAACCGAAACCGCCTCGCTCGCGCGGGAGACGGCGCGTTTAGCCGCGAACGCCTCGAGAGCCCAGTAGGCCATGCTCTGGCGGGCTCGCGAGCGGCGCGCACCGCGGTACAAGCCGGCGCGCGGCGGGCGTTGGGAGCCTATTCACAGAGGGGGGGGGATTTTCCTGAGGGAGGGTGTAGAGGATGTAGAGTGAGAGCGCTGTAGAGCTGTAGAGCTGTAGAGCGCTCTGGAGCGCTGTAGAGCTGTAGAGCTCTACATTCACCGCGTGACGAACTGCGTGCGTTGTAGAGCGATGTAGAGCGCGATTTTGCTGTAGAGTTTGTTGTAGAGGCTCTATTAATAGCAAAACCGCGGAAAGGCAGTGACTCAAAGAGGTCGAGCCGCACTAATGGGGTATCTCCGAGCTTACTGGAGCTCTGATGGACGGCCCTGACTATCCCTGACACACAGAGAGTCACTCTGACGGCACACAACACCCTCTATGACTGCGTCATGACCAGCCTGCCATGCGTCGCCGGTGCCGCATTCGTCGCAGTGCTTCTTTAGCAGGCGGTGGACTGTCGGCTGCGAGGACGGTCGCATTTGCGCGAGGCGAGGCGAGCATTGCTGCGCGTTGCATGCGCCATGACTCGCGCCAGCGCGTGCGGGAGCTCCTGGCTGAGCGTTGAGTCCAGGCGAGTTGCGCTGGCCACTATCGCTACGCCGAGCCGAGCTGACGCGCCGAGGCGCGCCGGCCAGTCGCAGCCGTGAGGCATGCCACAGCAGCAGAGGCACCTGCCACCCATTGGGCGGGCAGATAGAAGGCCAGGGCAGCACTGGCAAGTGCAACGCGCCTAAAATGTCGGAGAGCGACCGTGCCTCGTTCGCCGCTTATGAGGTAGAGTTTGTTGATGTTGTAGAGATTTCACGTTGTAGAGCGCCTCTACATCGCTCTACATCTGCATCGCTCTGTCCCGCGCCGGATGTAGAGCTCTACAGCTCTACAGCGCTCTACAGCGCTCTCCAGCGCTCTACATCTCTACAGCTCTACAGACAGACAGCGCTCTACACTCTACATCCTCTACACCCTCCCTCAGTCAGTGTTGTTTCTGCTGTTGTTTGTGCCCTTGGCACCGTGGGTGCTGGGGGGGGCGACAGGGTCCGGGCGTGGGGCCCTGAGTGGCGTAGTGCTCAGGATGTGTGGCAGCCCAGCTGGCTGAGTGTCTAGCTAGTGAGTTGGTTTGGTGTGTCTGTGTGTCGCTCGCGCGTGTCGTCGTCTTCTGTCTCGCGTCCACCCATACCGCGTTGGTGTCCAGTCCGAGCCTGACTGTTCTTCGCGTTTTTTCTATCTAATCTAATCTAGCGTGCGTGGGTGCGTGTGGGACCAGCTTCCAGAGCGGCGTGCCCTCGTCCTTGTCCAGCTCGTTGGTCCCAAACTCTGCGCGCTTCAGCTCCACCTCTGCGTCGGCGAGGCCCTGCCCCTGGTCAACGCCGTGGCTGGCGAGCACCTGCGGGCGCAGAGGCAGCGTGCGTGTGGGCCGCTGCAGCGGAGGCGCCCAGCAGCGGGACGAGAGCCTGCTCGGTGGGGTAGGCCCACGGCCTCTCCGAAGCCATGATGATGTCTCGACGTGGTGGCAGCGCTGAAACTCTTACGTCGAAGAGAAAGAAAAAGAATTCCGCCGTGAGGATAGACACATGCGCATTTCGGTCGCCGCGTCGCACGTCGAGCCCATCGACATGCGGCTGCACGGCGGCTGGGGCTCGGTCGCCGCCCCTCCGCTCGCCTCGGACGCCGCCCAAGACGACGGCGAGACTCTCTGCTGCGCCGTCTCGGGGGCGGCTGCGGACGGCTCTGGCGATGTCATCGCCCTCGTCGACAGTGCCGAACCCTCACCGTCGGTCGAGGCGCGACGCGCGCTCTGCTTCTCCAAGCCGCGCTCGCTGAGCCACGTCGCCGCCGCCCAGCTCCCAATCCTCGTCCTGACTGCCGCCGCCGCCCTTCACTCGGTCGGCCTCCCGCCGGGCACGCCTTCCATCGGCATGCGATCGGACTCGCCGGCGACGGCGCGCCGCCTCGCCGCCGATGCGCCTCCCCGTCAATAGACGCCGCCGCGACGCACCAGCCTCACGCCGTCACGCACAAGCCTCACGCCGCGCCGCGCGTCGCAGGTGCTCATTGCCGGCTCCACCGGCCGGCTGCCGAAGCTTCTCGTCGAGCTGCTCTCGGCTCGCGGCGCCCGCCCGTGCGTCGCCGCGGCGGAGGGCGGCGCCGACGCGCTGCAACGTGCGGGCGCGAGCGCCGTCTTCAACTACCACGCCGAGTCGTTTACCGAGCAGCTGGCCGGGACAGGCCTCTCTGCAGTGGTGGACGTGGTCGGGCGGGAGGAGGAGCCGGGCTGGGTGAGGGAGGCGCTCGGCTGCGCCTATGTCTCGGCGGCGTCGCCCGCGCTGCTCTCGCTCAGCGAGGACGGCGCCCTCGCGGCGGCGCGTGGCTGGCAGAGGCGGTGGGGCAGGCGGCCGCACGAGGGGAGGCGCGTCTGGCGCGCGGACGACCGCGCGGCGGAGGCGCTGTCCGAGGCGATGGCGCTGCTCGAGAGCGGGAAGCTGACGCCGCCCGCCGAGGCGAGCGCCGCCTCCGAGACGGGGATGCAGTACCTCGAGTTCCTGCGCTGGCCGCGCGATTCGGAGACCGGCCGCCGGTTCGGATTCCCAGGCGAGAGAATCTACTAGTACCACGCTCCACGGCGGGCAAGGCCTATTTAGTGATTTATACTCGGCCCGGCGGGCCCTCGACGTCGATCGTCGTCGTCCCCAATAGCGTGGAGAGAGACGACGCCCGACGGGAACGCGAGCACACGGACACGCGTAAAGCGTAAAATTTGGCCTGCACAAGCTTTTCCGGCAAACAAAAAGGAAAATAAATATAAATAAAACGGACACCTCTACTAGGAGATGGGTAAAAAGGAACAGGTCCCCGCCCTGCGGTCTTTGTGCAGGGTTCTTTGTGGGTGTGGTCGGCGACTAGCCGGGGTCGTCCTCCCGATGGGGACTAGCACTAGCCGTCTTCCACATGGTCCCTCGGGTCCCTGCTGCTCCTAATCTCGTCGTACATCCTCCTGCTGATCTCAGCAACATCCTGCTCCCTCCCTCGTCTCGCCCTGCGCGTCTGCTCCGCCTCCCCGTCGTAAAAAGGAAAACAGAGGGTCCCCAGCACTTTGCGTTTCCGGAAATTTCCAGGGAAAACAGAGGGTGTTTGGTGCTCCATTCTGGAAACTCGCGAGTTTCCCTGAGTCTGAGAGCTGGTCTGGGGGGGCGCGGGGGCCCCCGGAGGCACCGTGCGCCGCGCCGCAGTGCGGAAACGGGGCTCCTGCTCTATTAGTCTCTATTAGCACCAACTTCCCGAATGATTACGGTTGATTAGATGGCAGATTTGGAGAGATCTCGAGGAGTACACACAGATAGACCCTCCAATCATCAGTAACCTCCAACCTGATCGGTCGTACTGACCGCCGACAGATCACTCCAGACAGCAGACAGGCCGACGTCTGCACGCGGCCGGCCGGGCGAGAGGCTTGACACGATCCGACCCTGCGACCCTGACGCTGCTGCTCTAGCTATCAGCCATGGACTGCTGACTGCTGCCACAATGTGCGACCGGTGCTGGCCCACTTGGCGGCCTCCCCGGTCAGTGGTGAGGCGCAGTTCAGAGCTGTCGATGGCGCGATGCCGCACTGGTCCCATATTGGTGACACTAGACCACAAAGTTTGCCGGTCCAAGAGAGAGGCACCGGCGCTGTCCTGAGAAGGTGCGTGGTCCTTCATGACTGCCCATGCGCGCGAGGCTGTGTAGGCATAGCCTCGAGAGTGCCAGCAGCCAATCCGAGGCGACGCGCATTGCACCAAGCGTGCACACGATGGAAGGACACCTTGACCTTCCTACTGGCCGTACGATCAGGTCGTCACTGAATGCTTGATACTAAGGCCGCGAGCTATGCAGGTGATCAATTGTGCAGCACGGCACGGTCAGCAGCGCCGAAAGGATGTCGCAAGGCGTGATAGCATGGCCGCAAGTACGCCGAATTCCCGTGAAAACAACTGAATAACCACGGGCCCTCAGCGGAGCTGGGAAGAGGACCGCCGCAAGCGGCGTGGCGTGGAGCGGTTGTGCATCCCTCCGGGGGCCCCTCTGCGCCGGGGAGGCGTTGTTGGAGGCTAGGACGCAAGCGTCCGTCGCCCTTTTCAAACTCGGGGCCCACTCCGCTACGCTCCGACCCGAATTTGGAGGGCCTAAAAGTTTAAGGTGTTGCTGCGCAAAAGGGGTCGGACACCGGGCGCAGCTCATGCTAAGAGCTAGAAGAGGAGATAGAGAGAACAACCACCCTGTCCCGTTATTGCGTACACCAACAAACACCACAAAACGCTCTCTCTCTCCTGTCCGCTCACTCAGGGGGGTCACAACTACCAAGTCCCTCGACTAGCTGCCACAGGGCGCAGCTGCCACAGGGCGCAGCTGGAGACGCTCCCCCTCGGCATCCACCCCCACCCGCTCCAGCCCCACTTCTGCTGCCGAGAGAGCTGAATCGAAGCAAGCGTGCCATTGCATCTTGGCGTGCTCCTGGAGCGCGGCTTTCTGCGGCCACGAGCACGGCGGAGTCGGCGTCGTAGCGCGCATCGTTCCCGCTCATCGCCCATTCCTCCCGTGACGTGTGTCGGCCGCGATTCGATGTCGCCACCTTCATCGCCAACGAGGACTCCCTCGACTGCAGGGGGGCTCCGGCGCGGGGAGGGACTCCGCCTGCTGCGCTGGCCGACTGCGCCCTCCTCCTCCATGGGATCGATCCGATTCCGCAGCGGCGGTGCTGCGCGGGAGGCGGCCGCGGGCACGCTGGGCTCGATCAGCGGCTTTCCCCTCAGGCAGCGCGAAAGCACGGATTTGGCGGATTCTTGGCTTCAATTTTACGAATGTCTTGGCACCAGCTGAAGGCTTGCATCCCACATCACGCAGTTTGTGCACGGTATTCGGATTTTGGCTATTTGCTCGTGTGGGGGTAAATCGCAGATTTGTCAATGGTACCGCGTCTGCGACGCGGGCGCCTTGCGGGCAGAGCCCTTAGCCACCCTTTTATCTTGCGCGGTCAAAATCGCGCAAAAAAAGCGAACAAATCGGCGCCTGCGGCGGGCCATGGGACCCCATCGCCCCCCCGCATGGACACCCTCTGGGGCCCCCGCGCCGGCCCAGAGGTCTGGGGCAAAATCTGAGGCAAAATTGAGGAAATCGGCACGATACCCAGGCGGTCGCAGGGTATTTTCCAGGTATACCCGGGGTTTTCCAGGTATACCCGCAAAATTTTGCCGGTTTGGCTGATTTTGGGCCCAAACCAGCCTCGGACTCGGCTCAGAGCCCGGAAAATTTGATGGTTTCCCCGGGAAAAGAGAGAGGAAAGGAGAGGGTGCTGTAGAGAAAAAAGGAAAGGAAAAGAGACGGGGTGCGAGAGGAAAAGCTTGTTCAGCCTAACGTAAAATGCAATAAAGTGAAAAGTAAATAGGAGGCCAGAGGGCGGTGCCCGGCGCCGGCGGTAAGGGAAACCAGGGCGAAAGGACAATCGGATCATCGTCGTCGGCCGCCCTTGTTTACAAAAACAGGCACCGCTCCACGGCTCCAGGCACGGACTGATGAACATCTCCACCCTGTGAACATCAACAACGCTGCTCGCAACATGCGTGTCGCGCACTCACTCATTCATGACCGGTCTCAATGCCCCACCCCCCTGCGCGCGGGCCTTCTAAGCCCGCGGGTAGTCCCCCCCCATCCCCAGGGCCTCCAGGGCTCGCACCTCAACCTCTCACAGGCCAGCGCACAGCGCCATAAGAGGTATTTTCTTCTCAATAACAAGGCTGTGAACTCTGGTAATCGCCGCCCGCCCGCTGTTCCCGCGTTGATTGGTTGTGGTCGATGGCTCCCCTGAAGCCGCCAAGCTTGCCGCCGCTGGCCAAGTACATCGCGGGGAAGCGTGCCTCCGAGGCCGCCAAGGCCAAGAAGGCCCACGTGCGTGTCAACGCGCCCCCGCCGGCTGACGTGGAGGGCGGGCCTTTATCAGAGACAGACTGGGCCAGGGCGGGGATAAACCGGGGAGATGGCGAGTCCAAGGCGACGACCGTGAAGGGGATGTGGGGCCTGGAACGCCAGTTGGACGCAATCCCCGACGCCAGCGCTGAGAAACTGGTCGCCGTTCTGCCCGACCGCTCCCTCGGCATCGAGATTTACGCAAGCGCGCCGGTTGCGCTGCTCTACCAGATCGTGACACTCATCACGCTGCCGCTGTTTGTGCTGTACCTGCTCCTCAAGGCCATCATGGGCATCTTTCTGTGGATGGCCAACGGGGTGGTTTACTACTGCTGCTGCGGCCGCCCGAGCTTTGCCGAGGTTAAGGTGACCCTCGCCCCTGCCGGCATGGCCTCCCCGACGTCTCTGCGGCGGCGGCGGGCGCCGCTCTTCTCACGACCCTCTCTCCCATGCAGCCCGGGGATGGCTGGTGCCTCATCACTGGCGCCTCGTACGGCATCGGCAACTCGATCGCGCGTGAGATGGCCTCGCGCGGCTACGACGTCATCCTCGTGGCGCGCACCACGTCCAAGCTGACGGAGTGCGCCGAGCAGTGCCGCGCCTTCGGCGTGCAGGCGAAAGTGGTGACGCAGGACCTGGCACTCGAGAATTCGCCGGAGCAGCTCTGGAAGAAGGCGAGACTGAGAGGCCCCTACCCCCCACTTCCAGCAGCCGCTGCCCCCGAGGCCGCATCGCGTGCCCCGCGACACGCGCGCAGGTGCAAGAGATGGGTCTCGACGTCTCGATTCTCGTAAACAACGCGGGCGCGGGCTTTTACGGCATCTTTAACGAGGCGCGCCCCGCTTCAAGTGCACCCGCGAGCGTGCCCTTTGCCGATCAAGACAAGGAGCATTAGGTGAACTGGGGCAAGTACTCTTACATGATCAATCTCAACATGCGCACCTACGCGGGCAACATCCACCACTTCGGCCGCCCCATGATCGAGAAGGGACGCGGCCACATCCTCAACATCGCGTCGATCGCCTCCTTCGCGCCGGCGCCGTCGGAGGCGATGTACAACTCGAGCAAGGCTTTCGTTCTCGCGCTCGGCCAGGCCGGCCCACGCAGTCGCCCCGCCGCTCTGCGCAGGCAGGTTTTGACTGATGCGCAAGCCTGCACACCTAGGCCATCAAGTACGAGCTGCGCAACACCGGCGTGTCGCTCACCACGGGCTGCCCCGGCTTCACCCAGACGCGCTTCTGGCCACACGACGGCGCGCTCGCGCCGGCGGGCGCCACCGCGTGCATGCTGCAGAGCTCGGACGGCTGCGCGCGTCAGCTGGTGGACGCGATGTTCCAGTCCACAGTCTGGACCATCGCGGGGACGCCCCTCGGCTGGATCGTGAACTACGTCGCCACGCAGTCGACGCCGATGCTCCCGTGGGACTACGGCATGTGGTTCGTCGCCAAGCTCTTCAAATCGGAGGTGACTGAGAAGTCGTGGGTCCAGGGGTGGCTCTACTACCTCAAGCCGGCGGGCGGGTGGCCGTGGCAACGCACCATGTAAGAGCAAAGAGGGACGGCCGCCGCATGGAAGGGGCGCTGAACCATCCCGGATGGTGGCTCCCCTGCCTGTCTTCAACTCTCTCGTCCCCTTTGCGACGCCGCACGCCCCAGGGGCGGAGGGGGCGCTCTTACAGTCCATGCGCATGCGACACCCATGGCCCCGGTGCCCGGATGACACGAACACACCCTTGAAACTTCTACCACATGAGTCATGACACAGATCCACAACTCACTCTCACAAACACACACAACCCCCTTCACTTTTCCTTTTGCCAATATCAAATGGCGACATAGTTACGCAATTTGATCTAAAGAGGAGGGCCCGGCGCTCTCGACGAGGGCGATGACATCGCCAGGGCCGCGACGCATGCTGATGGAAGGCGTGCCCGGCGGGAGGCCGACCGAGTGAAGGGCGGCGGCGGCAGTCAGGACGAGGATTGGGAGCTGGGCGGCGGCGACGTGGCTCAGCGAGCGCGGCTTGGAGAAGCAGAGCGCGCGTCGCGCCTCGACCGACGGTGAGGGTTCGGCACTGTCGACGAGGGCGATGACATCGCCAGAGCCGTCCGCAGCCGCCCCCGAGACGGCGCAGCAGAGAGTCTCGCCGTCGTCTTGGGCGGCGTCCGAGGCGAGCGGAGGGGCGGCGACCGAGCCCCAGCCGCCGTGCAGCCGCATGTCGATGGGCTCGACGTGCGACGCGGCGACCGAAATGCGCATGTGTCTATCCTCACGGCGGAATTCTTTTTCTTTCTCTTCGACGTAAGAGTTTCAGCGCTGCCACCACGTCGAGACATCATCATGGCTTCGGAGAGGCCGTGGGCCTACCCCACCGAGCAGGCTCTCGTCCCGCTGCTGGGCGCCTCCGCTGCAGCGGCCCACACGCACGCTGCCTCTGCGCCCGCAGGTGCTCGCCAGCCACGGCGTTGACCAGGGGCAGGGCCTCGCCGACGCAGAGGTGGAGCTGAAGCGCGCAGAGTTTGGGACCAACGAGCTGGACAAGGACGAGGGCACGCCGCTCTGGAAGCTGGTCCTGCAGCAGTTCGACGATCTCCTCGTCAAGATTCTCCTCGGCGCTGCCGTCCTCTCCTTTGTGCGTGCTGCGCCGCCGCGACTGCCGCCTCTGCCGCTCCTCTCTGCAGCCCTGCAAGAGCGCCTGCCATAGTGCTAGGCCAGGCGCGCCGACTCGACCGCGTGAGGCCAGGCGCGCCGACTCGGCCGGCCGCCCCCCTGGCAGGTGCTCGCCTTCTTCGAGGACAGCGAGGAGGAGGGTCTGCAAGCGTTTGTTGAGCCGTGCGCTGCCGGCAGATGCCAGACTCCACACAGAGCAACACGCGCTCCTCTGTCCTCGTCCTGGCGGCGGGCACGCCAGTGCGTGCCCTCTCGCCTTGACGCGCTCCAGCCTCCTCCCTTGGGCTGCGTGAGGCCGCGAGCGGCTCTCTGCGCGCCTTGTTCCCCTCGAAGCCGTCTCGCTGCGACACATCTCTCTCTCTGCTCGCACACCGCTTCCCTCCGCTCGCAGGTTCGTCATCCTGCTCATCCTCATCATCAACGCGGTTGTCGGTGTGTGGCAGGAGCACAACGCTGAGAATGCCCTCGAGGCACTCAAAGAGCTGCAGGCGCGCGCCGACGCCTCCCGCGCCCTCTCGCGCGCCGCCGTCGCTCGACTCCCTCGCCGCTCTATGCCACGCCCTCACCGTCGCCCTCCTCCCCCCCCCCCCGCACTCACTCTCTCCCGCGTCCTCTCTCTCCCGTGCGCTTCGTCCGAGCCAGCGCGGCCACTCCGACGCGTTCCGCACTCGGCGCTGCAGGGCTGCAAGGCAAAGGTCTACCGCAACGGCCAGCTCGTGCCTGACCTGCCTGCGGCGGACCTTGTGCCGGGCGACATCGTCGAGGTGTCCGTCGGCGACAAGGTGCCCGCCGACTTGCGCGTGCTGCGCCTCAAGACCACGACGGTGCGCGAAACGCCGACGCTTCGGTTCCCTCGGCTCCACCTCGGCTCCACCTCCACCTCGGCTCCACCTCGGCCCCACCTCCGCCTGGGCCGCGCCTCGGCTCCACCTCGGCCAGTCTCGGCGACACCTCGGCGCCATCTCGCCTAGGTGCGCACCGACGAGGGCGCGCTCACGGGCGAGTCGGAGACGGTGATGAAGCACACCGAGCCGGTGGGGGCGGAGGCGCGCATCCAGGACAAGACCAACATGATGTTTTCGGGCACGACCCTCTCGGGGGGCGGCGCCTTTGGCGTGGTTGTCGCGACGGGCATGCGCACCGAGATCGGCAAGATCCAGGCCAACGTCAAGGAGGCTGCGGAGGACGAGGAGAAGACGCCGCTTGGGCAGAAGATCGACGCGTTCGGAGAGATGCTCGCGCGCGTCATCGGCCTCATCTGCATCGCCGTCTGGGTGATGAACTTCTCAAAGTTCGCCGACCCGGTGCACGGCGGCTTCTGGCACGGCCTCATCTACTACCTCAAGATCGCCGTGGCGCTCGGCGTCGCCGCCATCCCCGAGGGCCTCCCCGCCGTCATCACGCTCTGCCTCGCCCTCGGCACGCGCAAGATGGTCAAGCGCAACGCCATCGTCCGCAAGCTCCCCTCCGTCGAGACGCTCGGCTGCACGACCGTCATCTGCTCCGACAAGACGGGCACCCTCACCACCAACCAGATGGCGGTGGTGGCGATGGCGTACCCGCGCTCCGCGCCGGACGACATCGCGGAGCACGTCGTCACTGGCACCTCGTACAGCCCCGAGGGCGAGGTGGTTGGGCTCAGCCTGTCCGCCGACTCGGGCGTGCTCGACATCGCGAGGGTGTCCGCGCTGTGCAACCAGGCCTCGATCCACTACGCGGGCGGCAAGTACGAGCGCGTCGGCGAGCCGACCGAGGCGGCGCTCAAGGTGCTGGCCGAGAAGATCGGGCTTCCGGGCGTGCCTCGCACCAGCGACCCCGCGCTTGCGTGCTGCCAGGCCAACGGCCACTGGATAGCGCAGAGCCCGTGCAACGCGGTGCTCGAGTTCTCGCGCGACCGCAAGTCGATGTCGACGCTCTGCGGTTACGGAAGCGGCGCGTCGGAGGGGGGGCTCGGCGCGAGCCCCGCGCGCGCGACGCGCTCCCGCGCAAAGGCGTCGGGCGGCGCAAACATGCTGTACTGCAAGGGCGCGCCCGAGTCGGTGCTGCCGCGCTGCACGCGCGCGCGGCTGGCCAACGGGACGACGGTCAGCCTGTCGGCGCCTCAGCGGGACGCGCTCCTCGCCTACGTCTCCGGCATGGCGGCGCGCCCGCTCCGGTGCCTCGCGCTCGCCATCGCCGAGGACGTCGGCGACTTGGCGGACTACGACGGCCCGTCGCACCCGGCGCACCACAAGCTCGTCGACACGGCCGGCTTTGCAAGCATCGAGAAGGGGATGACCTTCGTCGGCCTGGTGGGCATCAAGGACCCCGCGCGGCCCGAGGTCGCGCCGGCGATCGCCTCGTGCAACACGGCGGGCATCCGCGTGGTGATGATCACCGGCGACACGAAGCCCACCGCCGAGGCCATCGCGAGGGAGATTGGGATCTTCCCCGAGGGCGAGTCGCTGCAGGGCCGCTCCTTCACCGGCGCCGAGTTCTTCGCGCTCTCGGCGGAGAAGCGGCGCGAGCTGCTCACCGAGCACCGCCACTCGATGGTCTTCTCGCGCACCGAGCCGCGCGACAAGCAGGAGCTCGTCAAGATCCTGCGCACCGCCGGCGAGGTGCCCGCGATGACGGGCGACGGCGTCAACGACGCGCCGGCGCTCAAGCAGGCGGCCATCGGCGTGGCGATGGGCATCGCGGGCACCGAGGTGGCCAAGGAGGCGGCCGACATGATCCTGGCGGACGACAACTTCGCGACCATCGTGGCGGCGGTGGAGGAGGGGCGCGCCATCTACATGAACATGAAGGCCTTCATCCGCTACCTCATCTCGTCCAACATTGGCGAGGTGGCCTCCATCTTCCTCACGGCGCTGCTCGGCTTCCCCGAGGGTGACCCCGCCCCCGCCCCTTCGGCCTGCCGTGCCCCTCCGGGCCGCCCCCCCTCCGCTGAGCCCTCTCCGACCCGCCCCGCCGCAGGCCTCATCCCGGTCCAGCTGCTGTGGGTGAACCTCGTCACCGACGGCCCGCCCGCCACCGCGCTCGGCTTCAACCCGCCCGACCCGGACATCATGCGCCGCCCGCCCCGCCGTGCCGACGACCAGCTCATCACGCCGTGGGTCTTCTTCCGCTACATGGTCGTCGGCTTGTACGTCGGCTTCGCCACGGTCGGCGTGTTCGGGTACTGGTACACGGCCTACGACTGGTCCGAGTACGGCCACCCTCTCATCTCGGTCTCGCACCTCTCAAACTGGGGCAAGTGCTCCCACTTTGGCGAGATGGCCGAGTTTACGAGCGACCCGTGCGCGCCCCGCCTTCCGCCCGCGGATGCGCCGCGAGCTCGCCGCCGCCTCACCGCCGCGGCTGTGTGAGCAGGTATGCTCCCGACTTCACGACGTGGGCCGCCAACGGCGGGCTCGACCTGTCCGCCAAGCCGTGCGACTACATGACGGGCAGGGCGAAGAACACGGCCTCCACGCTCTCGCTCTCCGTCCTCGTCACGATCGAGATGTTCAACGCTCTCAACGCAATCTCGGAGGACGGCTCGCTGCTGCAGGTGCCGCCGTGGGTCAACCCGTGGCTGCTGCTCGCGATGTTCGTCTCCTTTGGCCTCCACTTCGTGATCATGTACGTGCCCGTGCTCGCGACCATCTTTTCGATCGTGCCGCTCACGCTCAACGACTGGCTCCTCGTGCTCGCCTTCTCCTTCCCCGTCATCATCGTCGACGAGGCGCTCAAGCTCGTCGGAAGGGTGCGCGAGCGCGCGGCCTTCCATCGGCGCATGGAGAAGGAGGAGTAGAGGGGCGCGGGGAGGGGCGGCAGGGGCGGCACACGCCGCGGGGCGGCTGCGCGCCTCAGAACCGCGACGGTGCTTCCGCGGCAGCGCCGCGGCCAGCGCGGCCAGCGCGGCCCCGACGGGTTCTATTGACATCTCGCCGCGGTCTCCGTCCCGTCGGCTTGGGGGGATGGGGAACGTCGAGATTGATAAGCGCAGCAGGCGCGGTGTCAGAGAGCGGGCTCGGACTCGCAGTGATTGGATTGTTTCGGGGGGGTTCCTCTTTCTTTGGTAACAGCTGTTGCGACGGTACCCCCCACAACCAAAAAGATGCCCCGCCTCGAGTGCCCCGCGATATCCCACACACGGCCTATACGCCAAAAGGCGGCAGCGGGCCAGCATCAGAATCGTCCGTCATATGCGTGTTCCGTTTTCCCAAAATCACGATGACACAACCCGCATGATTAATTACTTGTGTCGCTAATGTTCAAACAAGCGGTCGTGTCGTGCAGCTCGGGTGCTGGGGGGGTCGTGGGAGCCGCTCGGGACCATTCTAAAGGCGTGTGTTGGTAGCTGGGGCCTCGAAAGCGCCCCCGGGGCCCTCTGCAGGACCTCTCTGGAGCCCCAAAACGGCGCCTGCAGGGCGGCTCGCGGCTTTGAGGCTCGTAAAACGGGTGCCGCTGGCATCGTCCCGATGCGTGTGTATCACCACATGCCGATATCGCGCACGAGTCAGCCGCGAGAGTCCGTCCAAGCCTCGGAACGAGCCCAACGGGGCCTTTTTGGCCCCTCGGCGCCTTCTGCCGACCTTTGGCGCCCGATTTGGTGCCACCCT